GACGTAAATTAAAATTAACTATAGATAGAAAGTAAATAAAAAAAGAAAGTAAAGTTAACTTAACTTACTTGTAATTTAAGTACAGCTTAACCTACGTCGTGTGTGTGTATATATATATATATATATATATATATATATCATGTTCTTAATGATCTCAAACTTTAAAATGAGTACATTACATATTTATAAAATTCATCATTTTTCTGTAAACTACCTTAAGTTTCAGCATTACTTGCATTAAAGCATAAGATCTGTGAAGTTACTGTACGAGTACACATTAACTGCATGCAATGTATATCTGTTAAATCAGCTGAAAGCATCCAATTATTATTTATTAATACAGCCAGTGTACTACTCTATAATTGTAAGAATACTTTTATGAACTTTGTAATTGTACGTGATTAATTTTTGTGAGCATTTTATTTCACAGTATCAGAAGAGGTCAAGATTTGACAGTATATTTTTGAAGTGAACCAATGGGTGAAACTGCATAAGGTTAGCCCTAAAGCTAGATTATTGCACGAGTTTTGTGTGTTAGAAGTTTGATGCCATTGTGCTTTATTGAACATTAGTACTGTAAATGACATAGATATATATTTACTGTGTGTAATTTGTGGGTGCTGTACTTTGAAAGCAGCCCTCAAAATTGAAAAAACAACAAAAACAAATTGCAAAAGCATATTGAAAATATATGATTCCCAGAACTGTGTTAGTTGAGGTGGCTAACTAAGGTAGTAAGGAAAGTGTACTAGGTGACAGGTGGACAAAGGCAGGAAGTGGATTAACTCTTTCAGCATGAGCTCGGGTCCTGGGACTTACATCGTAACCATTTTGTACTTGTTATAGTTTTCATGCTATAACTTTTAAATTAGTAAACATATGTTAACACAATTTGGCAGATTATCAGTAAACTTTACGATGCCTTCATAAACAAACTATCATATTTTTTTATTAAGTCTTAAGGTTTGTAAAGCAATATTTTTCTCATGCCTTTTTTCTTTTTACATGTTGCCTATCCAACACGCAAAGTAATTTTCATTTTAACATTTAAAAATACTTTTATGCTTCAGAAAATTTTCAAATTTCACAAGCAAAAATCTTTATAACGTTCAGATACTGAGATAGTTATGAAATGTTTCTTAGGAAAAAACTTTATATTTTATCTGTTCTTTTCACTAACGAATCTCTGTACGGGTTTGGTCGATTTGACCGATCTTGTAACCACCATAGAAAATTAGGTAATAAATATAAACTATGCCTCTTGCATTCTAGATTGACAACAGATTATAACACGAAAACATAAATGTTTAGACTAAATAGCTGAAATCTCATAACATTATACATTTATATATATTTATTATTTTTATTATATTGACCTTTCATCCATGCAAAGTGATCTGTTTTGGCAGAGTTGTATTTTGTACAATACAGTCACATTTCAATTATTATACATTACTATATTGATGCCATAGAATTCCACTATATTTTATTAAGCTTAGTAACTGAGCTGTATTTGGGTCTAAAAAATATGAAATAACCAGCAGACTAAAACCACATCCTACCTCTTTGAAATCTTTGTTTGAAAGAATGAGATGACATCGTAAGACTTTAAAATGTCATATATTGAAGTAAGTGTATATAAGGTACCATTTCCAAAAATAGAAAGAGGTGATCATGGCCACTGATTCATAACATGAGTGATATCTCAGCAAATAGAAAAGATAGGAGGTTCTTATTTTATATTCTAGCTTGTGAATAATGGAAATTTGAGTTCCTAATTCATACAAAACTATAGACTTAGTATTTTGATATCATAAACATCTAATTTGAACCAGTGCTACATTCAACATACCAAGTGACACACAAAAATCGATGTTTAAGTGTTTTTTTAATATTTACTTTTAAATTAAGAAATTGAATAATGTATAATACAAAAATTTGAATTATAATCTACAGTTTGATACCAAACGTATTGACACAAGTTCATGAAATAGTAGTTCAGTAAAATTTTGCATGCGAGTCAACAAACGCGACGACATGGCCTTTGACCCATGACCCATCTGGGAAAGGTTAAGGGAAACAGTAAGGTGTAGAAAAATGTGGTCTGGTGTTGAAGGAACAAAAAACTTGATAAAAAGCACTTTGAAAGATGATGACAAAACAAGTTGTAGCAAAAATGAAATAAACAGTTGGAAAATTAATTAAACTGAAAATACTTTAGTACAATTATGTAAAATACAAATAAATTTACTTCAAATTCAAAAACTATAAAATAGGAAATGTTGAGATCTTGATTAATTCCATTAAAAGTGACAACATTCAGTATTTTTTACCCAGAAAGGTTTACTTTTTAAACTTTGAATTTAGTGATTATACCAACTAGTTTAAGGTCATCAGTTGAATTAAAGTTAAAAACTAATTAAGATTGTGTTGTTTTTTAACTAGGTTTTTTAATTCTTTAAATAAAGTTTCTATTGTGGTTTTTAAATAAAATTTCTATCGTTGACTTTAAGTTATTATAACCAGAAGCCCAAAGAACATTTTTCAAATGAAATGATAGTAGTTTGTCTTGAAACACAAAAATTGTGTACGCTGTTTACCGAGAAACTTTGTTTATATTTAGAGGGTTTGAAAAACTATATAAAAACTATGACCCAGTTGCACTGTATTAGAACAAATTTTTTAATTTTAGAGATAGAAATTAACTTTTATGTAAAGTGTCACCGTGAAGAATTAAGAAAATTTCTATGTGTTGAAAGAGATTCCTTATTGTCTATTTATTGATAAGTTGTTTTATGAGAACAACCACAACACACAACCAACTGTTATTATCATATCCACCAGTGCAGCAGCTAGGATCAGTTCATATAGAAAGATAATTATGTACATGTAAAATAGGTTCACATTTTAGAAAAATTAAAAAAAAAAAAGATAAGTATACACAACCTTTCTGTAAAGTATTGAGAGTGGAATAACATTTCAGATTTAAGTAAAGATAATTTGTCAGACTTACCAATTGATTCAAGTTATTCTGTAATACAGCTAAAAATATCCAAGAGTTTTTCGTCAGCAAACTTTACTAATTATGCTCATCATTTCGATATCATTAATTTAAACGTAAAAGCACTGACCTGAATCTGCCGCACACAATCTTTTAACTCAATTCACTAAAGTCTCGTGGCTTCAAAATTGGGAACTAAAATTTCATTTATTTTTGTCTCAACTGAAAACAAAATGTCAAAACTAGTTATGCAGTGATAACTTATCCCACACTTGAAGTCTTGCAACCATCTTTTCATTAGTAAATGATATCCAACCTGGTTGGCTCTCTGATTGTATGGTACAGAAAACTATCTATAATCTCTGTTTGACTCCATAAACTCTCAGTCATGTATACATTATTGTAATAATTGAATTAGTATTCTTCTTAGTATCAGTTATTATCTCATCATATTTACTCTTTCTGTCTGGATGTAGGTGGTCATGAGTGTAAATGTCAAATTGAGGCTACACATGGACATATAATTTATTTTAGTTCTTGGCCTAAATCTAATGCTTGAATTATGTAAATCCTTAGAAATATAGACTAACTACAGGTTCCTCTTCCACCATCAAAATGATACTAAACTTAAAGTGTTATTCAGCTTGGATCTCCAACTCTCAGGTGTTAATCAATAGTACCATGACCTATATCTAGAATTAGGATAGCTACAGTTTTCTGCTGTTACATAGTATAAGTCCAGGCTTATAGTATAAGGCAAGTAATAACAATATTAATAAGAATTATACATGTGTGTGTAGAGATCTAGTTAGGGTAAAATACACTGTAACAGGTGTGTCATGTAAATACCTTTAATTCTTTCTTAATGTTTGTTTTCTGTCAATTTCTTTTTACAAAATCATAAAGACTATGCTAAAAGTAATATATGTCAAGATTGGTGACATTACTTTATATTTTATACCTGATAAAGATTTGTGTGTAACAGATATGATGGAATTGCAACTGGGTTTTAGTTACTGAAGTATGCTGGACTTTAGAGCTATTTTCTTTTAATTTTATGATATGTACTGGACTGGTATAAGCAGAAATATGTCGTTCTCTGCATAAATTTAAGGTACAAAATTCTTGAATGTTGTAACAGATGTGGTATTTGTATTTTTGACAGCATTACTTTATATACCCAAGATGAAGTATGAGCCCTTAATGTTTACATAATTCTAACAAGAAATTTTAGATTAACTTTTATTTACTTAATGATGCTAAAGTAAATAAAAAGTAAATTTATTTGCTAGTAGCCAAACATTGGTTTAATCACATTTTAAAACAAAAATAATTGGCAACATTAACAGGAAATACACAATTTTTGTAGATTAATGATTCTTCCATAAATTGTTATTAAAAAAAAATGAGATCACCTTTAGAAATGTTGATGACTGAAATGACAATGAAATTCTGTAAGGTAAGTGATCTGTAACACTAACAGTAGGCCTATGAGTAAGTTAGGCTTATGAAGTTCTGTAAGGCAAGTGATCTGTAACACTAACAGTAGGCCTATGAGTAAGTTAGGCTTATGAAGTTCTGTAAGGCAAGTGATCTGTAACACTAACAAAAGGCCTATGAGTAAGTTAGGCTTATGATGAGATCACTTGCCTTACAGAAGTAACACTAACAAAAGGCCTATGAGTAAGTTAGGCTTATGAAGTTCTGTAAGGCAAGTGGTCTGTAACACTAACTGTAGGCCTATGAGTTAGGTAGGCTTACTACAGTAGAAACCATATTTTTTTTCAACATTTTAGGATAGGATGGAGAATGTCATTTAAGTCCAATGGTTTTGTTGCTTTAATTAGCACTATGATACTTGAATTTCACATTAAAATTCCCTTACAT